GTGTACCTGGACTGATATCAAGGCTCACCAATGGCTCGTTTCCCTCCAAATTGGTGCCTTTTGATTTTTTTGCCAAATTCATAAGAATTCTTCACTATATTTGATAATCTTTCATTCACTTTTTTATTCGAAAGTGGATAAATTTCGCCTGTTTATTTGTTGCTCTCTGTTTTCTGACGATTATCAGTCTCAATAATCCTCCTTCTTCTGTCGATTTCCCCATCCTTATTTATTTTCTTCAGCAGTTATTGCAGTACTCCTTTTAATTTAATTGTTAGCAGCCGATAAATAGTCTTCTCTCCGAGAATATTTTCTATTTTCTCTATTTTTACTTGTCCATCATTACTGTGGCACCTCCTTTGCCGGCTTGTAGAACTATTCTCGTTCATTTTTAATTTTCTATATATCATGCTTATATTATTCCTAATGGTGTGTTCTTGATACGCCAAGTTTGTTGGGATTACTCCCACTTTTGGCTCCAATTTATTCTCCCCTTGACTTGCCGGAGGTATTTATCCCCTTAAATAAAATGTCCTTGATTGCCTTCCTTTTATTCCGAAGTGCAACATTTAGTCATTTTTGAGGATCTCCATGGTTTCGAGGTCAATTCTGACGTAAGATAGGTTTATTACTTTATTTTTCCATTTTATCTTAACTTTCACATTATTCATTATAGATTGATCTTCTTTTTGCTGGTGGTCTGACCTCGGACTGTCTATAGATCCCATATTTAATCTGCTTGCTCTGGTGCCTTTTCTCATCAAGTTCGAGAACCTTTTCGACATTTTGTGTCATCTTCTAGTTTCAGGAAACCCTCTTGAGTGAGAACCTATCTTAAATCACGTCTGAGTCTGGATTTATTTTCTAAAAACGTAAATAATTTTCTCCTCTAGTTTCTGCAGATAAGCTTGATAGAATATATCGTTGACCTTGTCGGAATATTAGTTTCTCATCAAATTGCAAACAACTGGGAAGAATGTCATGACATTTACAAGAATTAACATATAAAGGGGAGAAGATTGATACCACAATGATTGAACCGAAAATTGTTCAAGGGCATTACCTTCACTTGTCACTTTGGTAAGTTGCAATTCAAAGCTAAGGATGGCGCCTCTCGGTGAAGATTCCGGCGGAATGGCTAGGAATATACCAAGTCACTGGTCCAATGCTGGAATTCATCACGAATACTATTGCAGAGGACGCAGGACTATGTGCGTCCAACAAGGTCTCTTTGTCAGTCCGACTGAGTTGCGAAAAAAGCTTTTATCTAATTACTCTGAGTTATGACTGGTTTTGAGTACAGACACTAACATGCAAGCATACACAGACACATTGGAGAATACGTGAATTAACCAAACATTTCTATATCCATCTATAGCTTAGATCGTGCTCACAATGAGTATATATATCATATATAAAAAAGCAGATTAGTTTTCTCGAATTAATGTTAACTTGAGGCTTTTACAAGACTGAGTCCCAGCACTGATGATGTTCGTTACATGACGGACGAGAACTCAGCCCGTCTTCACCTAAAACTTTGGTGAATGTCTCGTGGACTGCATCAACCTGAACGTCGTATTAAGGTCAAACGGCTGCAGTACAACGTGAACCAGCCGTCTTTTAGTGAGATTAACCTAATAATATCTTCATCATGTACTTCCATATGAAATGAAAGTCTTGAGATCAATCCTATCTGAGAAGATTCTTCGAAACCCGCAGTTTCTTCGTATATAACACGAGGACAAACCAATATTAGCTGAGTAACTGCTTGAATGAACAGCTACAGAGACGAATGTAACTACACCTGCCTGACCAACTGACCTTCTTCTTTCTCCTCCCTCCGAGGCGACAACCCAGCATTTTGTAGGTGATATCCTCCGGATCTGGTGCACTCTGAGCAAAGGCCTTACGACGCTCTTGTAGAACTATTGAGGGGATGAGACCGGCACGTTCCTTCGCGTTGTAGTGGCGGGCCTGAAGAGTTAGAAATAGAGACATTCGTATGTGAGATTCGACGTTCCTTCATGCATAATTATGCACAAATTAGAAATCAAATAAGTAAATTATAAACAGAGAAAGCTGATTTTTAGGCCAGATCAAAGTCTGATTGCTCTGAAATTGGCTTGATCGAGTCCGTGTCGAAATCTTTCGTTCTGGCTAAAATGGAGAAGCTTTTATTTCTCGAGTCCAGCGGGATCTCTAAGCGAATTACGGAGCGGATGAAGCCTGCACTGAGTCAGGAATCTAACACTATAGACAGTCCAGAAAGTGTGAGGTACAAATCAAGAATGAACAATAGTTTTGCTTTCATCATCAACAACTTGTAGCATATTTCGACAATCAGCCCCATGGCCGAGTCTGCTGTACCCTAAAACTATGTCGCCACATAAGCCACTGTTGAGGTGTGGCTAGACATGTTGACACAACTATCCTAAAGCCAAACATGACCAGTTTAGTTATATGTACTATTTTTCATTTGGCCAAATTTACAAATTCGTATTACACTGCCTATAATTATAGTAAAAGACATATTACATTTACAGGATAAATTAAAAAAGGAACGTGGACGAATGTATCTGAATGCACCAAATACGGCAAAATAATTTCTATTTGATACCAAAAGAAAGATCTCGAAAGTAGCCTTAACCTTACAATCCTGGGAATGATGTGTCGAATCCTTTTTTGGTTACAACTTCTTCAAGTCAAGTTCATCCAAGAAGCGTCGAGCCCCTTATGTGGCTAGCTGCTGATTGTTTATTCCGGATGCGTAATAATAAGACTAGAAAAAAAATAATCAAAATGCACGGGGTATGCCGCAGCTACCATAAAAAATCACTCCATGTACTCCTATTTTTACGACGGATTCGATAATCCATAGGCATGTCGAAAATCAAACTTAGACGCGATTATAGGTTCCAAAATAAGCGTTCGTTGATTCTAAAAAATTCTGAAATGGCAGATCCAACATCGCGTAACATTATGCATTCTTCCATCATCGGACCATTGACTGGGTAAATTTCGTATCTCCATCCTTAAAACCCAACTTTAATTGTTAAAAGTGTCAGCTTAAGTCAATCTCCTGAATGTGTGCTGGGTTATAAACTGGTGTTGTAATTGAATG